GTGTGTGTGTGTGTGTGTGTGTGGTGTGTGTGTGTGTGTGGTGTGTGTGTGTGGTGTGTGTGTGGTGTGTGTGTGTGTGGTGTGTGTGTGTATGTGTGTGTACTGGTCCTGGGCTTGAACTCAGGGCCTGGGCACTGTCCCTGAGCTTTAAGAGAGAGAGAGAAAGAGAGAGAGTGTGTGTGTGTGCATGTGTGTGTGTGCGTGTGTGTGTGTGGTGTGTGTGTGTGTGTGGTGTGTGTGTGTGTGTGTGTGTGTGTACTGGTCCTGGGCTTGAACTCAGGGCCTGGGCACTGTCCCTGAGCTTTTGTGCTCAAGACTAGACCTCTACCATTAGAGCCATAGCTCTGTTTCTGGCTTTTTACTGTTTAATTGGAAGTAAGAACCTAATGGACTTTCTGGCTTTGAACTCGGATCCTCAGATCTCAGCCTCCTCAGTAGCTAAGATTACAGGCATGGACTACCAGCACCTGGCTCAGATAATCTTTATAATAGCTGAATATTGCCTTATCACTTGCTTTTAGCCATCAAGAAAGTAATCAGAACATTTAAACATAAAACCATAAGAATCTACTCTTTCTGCTCTTTTCTAGCTCTTTCTCAGCTCTTTCCCAGCTCTCTTCTCTTTCCCAGCTCTCTTCTCTTTCCTAGCTCTCTCTTTCCCACTTTCTCTTTCTTGCTCTTTCTTTCCCACCTTTCCCAGACGCTCTCTTTTCTCTTTTCTCTCTTTTCTAGCTCTTTCTCCCTCTTTCCCTGCTCTCTCTCTTTCCCAGCTCTCCCAGCTCGCTTTCCCAGGCCTTTCCCCACCGTGTGGAGGACCAAGATGGCCTGGTGCCAGCCGGAACAATGAATAAACCTACCCCTTACCTGAAAAAATAAAAAAATAAAACCGTAGGAATCTTAAAGTAAGGCACTCTACCACTTGAGCCACACCTCCAGACCAGTTTTTAGAGAATCCCATGTAATTTCCACCCAGGCTAGATGGATGTACTACATCCATCTCTGCTTTTAATAAAAGGACACACTGTATTTCAGCTAGCCTAAGTTTAGGATTTGGTATGGGGCATGCCTGAAGAACATGAAACTTACTGACTCACACTGTGTCAGATTTCTGACATTGGCACTTTACTTCTGGGTCACCTGAGCCCATGTGTGGCCAGTAGTGGGACTAGAGCCTAGGGATAATTTTAGCTGTCAGTTTGCAATCGTGAATCCTCATCACTTGCTGCTGGGTTCTGAAGCACGGTTGACCATGGTGTTGTCATCTGCAGGTTGCTATTGCAGGGGCCCCTGTGACTTTGTGGATCTTCTATGACACAGGCTACACGGAGCGGTACATGGGCCACCCTGACCAGAACGAGCAGGGCTATTATTTAGGGTCTGTGGCCATGCAAGCAGAGAAGTTCCCCTCTGAGTAAGTTCACGCTTTGAAATTAAGGTTATGAATTTAAATCATGGGTCTTTTTTTTTTTTTAAGACTTTACTAAAAATGAGAACTTCAAATACTGTAAACTAAAGACAAACATTTGTAAAAGTCTATAGAATGACATGGTGGCTTCTCAAAGCCAAATCAAGGTCTAGTACGTTTACTGCATTTTTGTTTCGTTTTCTTTAACAAGTTATATTTGAAGCCGTTGCTTAGACGGAAATAAATTAGACACAGACTATTTGAAGGTGAGAAAAATTCTATATCTAAATAAACATTTTACAAACAATTTTTCTAGGGCCATGCTGTAATTGTTGTGTTTCTAATATTGTAATAAGAAATTGAACACAGGATCTCTTTTTAACCTTTCATACCATGTGACATCTGATAAGTATATTGGAAATTTAATTTTAAAAGCTTAATATTGAATATATGGAATCCTTAACAATACAATGTAAAGAAGTGGCTACCGCAAGGTATGATTGGTTTAAAGAAATTTAATGGTTCCTTCTACTCTTCTGTTTTTTTGCCTCCCTATCTAATGTTTTTATTTCTAACATCCTTACTTCTCCAGACCAAACCGCTTACTACTTTTACACGGGTTCTTGGATGAGAATGTCCATTTTGCACATACCAGTATATTACTGAGTTTCTTAGTGCGGGCTGGAAAACCATATGATCTACAGGTGAGTACTACATTATAAATCCAATGTCGTACTAAGTAGTGACTGATGACTTTGGAATCAAAATATGGAGTAAGACTGTTGTCAGTCTCTGCGCTTCTAGCTGATTAAAATGAAAATTCTATTGCGGTCAGGCCAAGAAACTAGCCTATCAGCTTATGTAATCTGTGAGTCCGTATCTGCATTCAGTTTGTGAGCAGCGACACAGGGGGACAGGTTTCAGGCTTCACAGGGTAAGGAGATGCTTCTTGCTGTGGTGAGAAGGTTTTTAAGACCTGATTATGTGGTCCTCACTTTCTTTTCTTTTTCATTGCTGTTGGTGTAGAAACCATCAGTTTCTTTCTTTTTTTTTTTTTTTGGCCGGTCATGGGGCCTGAACTCTAGGTCTGGGTCCCTCAGCTCTTCAGCTCAAGGCTAGTGCTCTACCACTGGAGCCACAGTGCCACTTCCGGCTTTTTCTGTTTATGTGGTGCTGAGGAATCGAACCCAGGGCCTCATGCTTGCAAGGCATGCACTCTACCACTGAGCTACCTTCCCAGCCCATCAGTTTCTTTCTTCCACTGCTCCCTTAACTCAAAAAAGAGTTTTTAAAAGAAGCTGTTCTTTTGTTATTGTTGTTTTTTCTTTTTTCAGTAGTACTGGGTTTGAACTGAAGCCCAGCACTTTCCTAGCATCCCATTTGGAGCCATGCTCCAACATTGTTCTTCCTTTCTGTGCCTTGAAAACGATGTGTTCAAGCTGGGTGCCGGTGGCTCACCCCGATAATTATAGCTACTCAGGAGGCTGAGACCTGAAGATCACAGTTCAAAGCCAGCCCAGTCAAGAAGGCCATTATATCCAGTTAATCACCAGAAAACTGGAAGTGGCTCTGTGGCTCAAGGGGTAGAGCGCTTTCCTTGAACTGAAGAGCTGAGGGACAGCGCCCAGGCCCAGAGTTCAAGCCCCATGACCGACAAAAATAATAATAATGTGTTCATAAGAAATTTTAAAATTATTTTTTTCCTCTGAGCACCAGTGGCTCACTTGGGTGATTCTAGCTACTCAGGAGGCCGAGATCTGAGGATTGCAATATGAAGCCAGCCTGACAGGAAAGTCTTCCGTCCAATAAAATACCACAAAGTCAGAAATGGAGCTGTGGTTCAAGTGGTACAATGCCAGTCTTGAGCAAAAGAAGCTCAGGGACATCTCCCAGGCCCTATAACCTACAAAATAATAATAACAACAATAATAATAACAATAGTAACATAAAATCTGTTGGGTCTTATACACCAAATGGATCTTTTAGCACACATTAATCATGTGAAAAATATTAGTTTCTCTCCATGCAAGTTTTTTAAATATTGACTCTTTTCTATTACATAATATTCTTTGAATCACATACTCTAATATTCTACTGATTTCATTGAAAAATAAGTATTGGGAAGTTCATAGCAATAGACATAAGCTTTCCAAAACTTTTGCATCTACAGATATTAACAGTTCCTATTAGTGTGGTCTTAAAGTGACCAGCTTACTTCATTAGGAACACAAATCTGAAAAATCTCACTTATCACTCATTTCTTTGAAGGAGAAAAACAATGGTATTTAAAAAGTGACTCACCATGCAACTTGCTTGCACACAATCCTTTTCCTAAAGATGTCTGTAGCACAAGTGATTTAAGTGCATTTTCCTTCTTATCACCACATCATTAAAGACTTCTGCCCTGCTTGCTTCAGCTGTAATAATTGTGACTTTTACCTGGTGTGTGGTGGCCGTTTGAGTTCTGATTTTATTAGCGCCTTGTGTGCTGGTGAGGCCTGCAGCTGCATGCCAGCCAGCCAGCTTGTGCATCATCCATTCAGAAGGAAAGCTGCATAGTGTTCTCAGTCATGGGAGACACAGGCTGCTATTGGCTCTTTTAAAGTTGTTTCTACTTTATATATCTCCCAAAAGGATTTCCAAGAACTCTTTGAAGACTACAGACCACACTTAGGCAGCAAATTATTGGTTTATATAAAAATCTTGCCAGGCACTGGTAGCTTGTGCCTATAATCCTAGCTACTCAGGAGGCTGAGATGTGAGGAACGAGGTTTGAAGCCAGCCTAGGAAGGAAAGGCGGTGAGACTCTTATCTCCAATTAGCTTTTTTTTTCTTCTTTTTTGTTGGTTGTGGATCTTGAACTCAAGGTTTGGGTGCTACTGAGCTTTTTGCTCAAAGCTAACACTCTGTCACTTTGAGCCACAGTGCCACTTTGGATTTTCTGGTGGTAATATGGAGATAGGAGTCTCAGAGACTTTCCTGCCTATGCTGGCTTTGAACAGCAGTCCTCAGATATCAGCCTCAGGAGTAGCTAGGAGGGACTGAGAAGTTGGCTCAGTGGTAGAGTGCTTGCCTTGCATGCATGAGATCCTGAGTTTGATTTCTCAGCACCCCATAAGCAGAAAAAAGCCAGAAGTGGCGCTGTGGCTCAAGTGGTAGGGCACTAGCCTTGACCTGAAGAGCTGAGGGACAGTGCCCAGGCCCAGAGTTCAGCACCCATGACCAACCAGAAAAAGAAGAAAAGAGTAGCCAGGATTGCAAATGTGAGCCACCAGCACCTGGCTCCAATTAACTCTTAAGTGTTAAAGCTCCAGCCTTGAGCAAAAAAGCTAAGTAAGGGACTAGCTCCCCTTGAGCTGAAAAGCTCAGAGACAGCACCCAGATCCAAAGTTCAAACCTCATGACCGACCAGGAAAAAAAAAAAAAAAAAAAGCTAAGGGACAGCACCCAGACCCTGAGTTCAAGCCCCAGAGATGGCACTCATGAAAAAAGAAAATAAAAATTTCATTAAGCCCCAATGAGTAGGTTTATCAGAATTATAAGAGAAGAAAGGCCTTTAAATATGATGTATTAAATGTGTTCTCAGAGAGCCTGCGCTCCATGCTACTAACATGGCCAGAAAGTTTTGAAAGATGTATTATTAACTGAAATGTTCTTTTCCTATCTTCTTGTTGGTAAGATCTATCCTCAGGAGAGACACAGCATACGAGTTCCTGAGTCTGGAGAACATTATGAACTGCATCTTTTGCACTATCTTCAAGAAAACCTTGGATCACGTATTGCTGCTCTGAAAGTGATATAATTATTCCCGGGTAGAACTCTGGTCTACACTGGCTATTTAACCAAATGAGGAGGTTTGATCAGTTAGAGAACATGGAATTAAGCCTGCCATGGTGGTACCTGCCATAGAACATCTGACTTCTGAAAGTACATTTGGTGGCATAGGCTTCTACAGCTCATCTGATTCCTTAACCACACACACACAAAATGAATTGATACCTATTCCTAAGGAATCCAGCAATGCCATGAGAATTACAGAGAAAAAACTTAAGACTTGAGCACCACATTCATACCACTCTCTTTTCACTTTTAATAGCATTATAAAGTCTCACGGACCTAATTAGTAGATTTTTTTACTATACTTCTGAGTTTGTTAAAAATATGGCATTAGTGATTGGTTTGGTTCAATTACAGGATCTCTTGACTAGTCACAGATTTGATAGCACTTAATGTGATTGAATAGCTTAGGCTTCATCGAGTGGGGTGTATCAGCATGTTATAAACTAATCACTATTAAACCTATGACTTAACCAAGTCATTAATGATTTTTTAAGGATAATTTAGTGGCCTCCTAAAGACACTTTTTTTTTTTTTTTTTTGGCTCAGACCAGTTTTTAGCCTATTTAAACTGTACTTAGTATAAACAGTCCTCCTTTTTCCTCAATGATAAGACAGAGTGGGATTTTTTTCTTTTTGCATAAAAAACAAGTAACTGTACTACTATATGTAGCATGGATTTAATCATAAGTCTTATGATGTTGATACTTACAGGCAGAATATTTTTAGTCAAATGATTAAAGAGCTTACACATTTGCAGGCAAGTATCATTCTTCCTTTAGGAAAAAGGAAGAATGTGTATTCACTTGTATGTGGGAAAGTTAGTGATGCCAGTTTCCATTTGGTATTATTAAAATGTTGCCGAATTTTCGAAGGTGGGAGGAGATGGCTGTGGGATGGATGGATGGACCAGGCACATGGAGAAGGCAGTGCGGGGTCTGCTTAAGAACTGAGCAAAAGTACATGGGAGAAAAACTGGGAAAGTGGAACCTAAACTCCTAGAATGTTAGTTAAGGAAAACAGAATTGGGAAATGACTCTCTTGCCATCACAGACAGACATTGTTCATAGGAAGAAAAATTCCTTAGGCTTTATTGTAATTCCTTTTTTTTTTTTGTTGTTCTTCCTCTTAATTTTAAAACCTTACCTCCTCCCCCCCCCAAAAAAAAACTCTTCTTAAATAACTGCTTTCAATATTGTTAGCTCAAGGTTTCCAGACAAGCTCTTAGCAACAGGGGAGCAGGGTGGCTCTCTTCGATAGTGTGTAGAGCTGGTAAACAGTTTTGCTGGTGGCCATGACATTTTCCTGGTTTAGTCTGTGACTATGAAAGGAGCAAATAAGATCTGCCCTTGGGCATGGCAGGTCTTTGCTACTGGGTGAGTTCCATCCGTGCCAGTAGCAGGGGAAACATTTATGAGTCTGACCATTTTATCCCAAGCGTCAGTGTTTAGAAAGTTATTACCAAAATTCAAAATCATACTCTTAAGAAAATTTGCTCTGTTTCTTCATCACCACTACAGAACGCAGACCTCTTTCAGAGAGGGCACAATATGCATTAGTGAGAATGGGGACTGTGCGGGCCCCATGGTCTCTGTTCCTGAAGGCCAGGTGGGCGGGGCAGGAGGCCAGAAAGGGCGGGGTGGCCTGGTTCTGTCCTGGGGGGCAGGGATGGGGATTCCCTGGCTGTATATTTATAATGTATAATAGATCCCACACTTTGCTGCCTGTATATGTATTAATTTTCATGTTTATGGTATTTTCTCATGCCAAGATTTGTTTCTATTTTTTCAAAGTTAAATTAAATTGATTTGGGTAACTTTCCTTCCCCAAGAAAGTATTTTCCCTCATATATCTGACTGTTGATGTCGAGGATGACATCTTTTGGACTGATTGGCCTCCAAGAATCTATCCTTACCATCCAAGCAGAAATGTTAGAAATAGCTTTTAGGCAGATAGCTCAGTTGAAAGTTCTTTCCCATCAAGCTTCTTTCTTAATGAGGCAGCTCTGATTTTACCAAAACACCTCAGAAATTTCAATTCTCTTCTATTCCCAGGCAGCTGCTTTCTTTCTTCCTACCACAAGGCACAAGGAATGCTTCTTCTTCTTTTTTTTTTTTTTTTTGTGGGTCATGGGACTTGAACTCTGGGCTTGGGGAATCAAACCCAGGGCCTCATGCATGCAAGACAAGCACTTTACCACTGAGCCACCGTCCTAGCCCTAGGCATGCTTTTTTAAATTCTCACTCAAATGCCATTCTGCTTCTCTAGGGGGAAAAATACCTGACTGAATTCACTAGTTCAACTGAAGTCACTCTAGCCAGTTTGGGGAATATCAGAGTCATTTGAAACAGTCAATAGAAATCACACTAAAATTGTACCCAAACTGGGGGCAGCAGCGTCAAAGGCAACAGTACCAAAAAATACCAAGAGTTTAGTTAGAGCAAAAGCGCTCACTGTGTTACACAGCAAACTGGGTTTTTATAGGCCTAACAAATAAGCACACTGGACAACCATCAACAGAACCCATTTCCTGAGTATTATAGAGCAGTGAAACTCGAAGTCTAAGCTTTATATGGGTGCAGTCTTAAACCTCACTCTGGGAAATTTGCATCCCATTGATTTGGGAGACAAATTGATCAGGATCCTGATACAAAGATCAGGAATGTACATTTCTGACAAGTTTTCCAGTGTTTCTAAATCGTGAAACTCTTCTGTACAGAACAGAGTTGGAGTAAGAAAATCATAATTGATTTTTATACTGAACTGATTTATAAGAATCACAAAGAGTAATCAGGAAAGAAGTTACTAGAGGCCCCCTCCCCCTTGTGGAAGCAACTTAAGAAAGTCGGTAGCTTTTGGTCTGCAGACTTGATTTGGAATGAAGGTCTTCTCCCCCTTGTACCACTCCCTCCCCTCCCGCTAGGCTCTTCTCCAAAGCCTCACCCAGGAAGATGACATCACAGCCGCACGCAGCCTCTTAGGGCAGTGAACTATAGGTAGGGTGCTTGCTCCTTTTCTACTACTTGTTTTCCTTACAAAAGATGCATCTCACCTTTCCATAGCCTCATCCTCTAGGTAGTATGATTCCTGTAAGATGTCTCAGTGCAGATTCAAAACTTTTCTAACTGGAATAAATCATTAATAGAATTTAATATTCTCATTTGTTAAAGGAAGAACCTGCATACTAGAGAAAAAAAATGTACCCATGACCACATGAGTTTCTAATCAGTACTAGGCTCCAACCAGAAAACCCTGCCTCCTAGTAAATAGTTAAATGATGTAGAGAAAAGCAGGGTTTTTTTAAATATATATTTATTAATATATTCCTATAAAACATTTTAAAAGGTAATCACATAAAATGGTGACTATTTCCATTCTAAAGTAAATGCTAAGCATGCTTACTAATGAAGCAGTACATGACATTCTGGAGAACATTGGAGAATAGGAGATTTGGGGACCGGGGTGTAGAATAGCGTGCTCCCTTAAGCTGGGAAGTACGTCTTAACAGCTCCTGGCTAGAACTAAGGACATGGCCCTATCTAAGCCAAGATGTAATGTGGAACATCTTTTCCCAGTAGACAGAAGGGGCTACGGAAGCTCCCTCCACCTCCCCAACCCCACCCAGCCTCTCCTAGAACATAGCTACCTGTGCGCGCACACCCTGCTGAGCCCCTGCAGCTGTTTCAGAAGTCCCTCACACAGAGTTGTGTTTGTATGTTTTCAGATAACCCAAGTACAGATTTATGTTGTCTTCAGCAAAATTGGAGTTAAAGGTCTTTTAATTTTAGAGCATAAAGTGCCTGCTGTTTTAAGCACTGACTTGTATAAAATGAACTGCATGTCTGACTCCAATATGTTGATGGGTTTTTCTTTTTTCTCTCAGTCTCAGCTACATGGCTTTTTAATCATGTAAAATGAAACATGCGTTTCATTGCATTTTATTACAGGTTCTTGGTTGCAAATAAAGATGCTGCTGAAATTTATTGGAATGTCTGTTCTCTATCCTCTCCCTGCCTGCCTCCCCCGCCCCACCCTGTTTGTACAACCTTGCCTGACCACTGTGGAGTCCTTAATGCTCATGAATGAGGGGGTGTGCTTGGTATGGAGGTGGGAGACAGGGTGAATGCTGGTGTGCACAGTTTTCAGTGTAAACACTAGCCGCCATGCTTCCAGCCCAGAGGAAGGCATGCAGAGAGCTACTGTGTGGATACATTGGCTCTCAGCAGCCAGCATTGTACTGCTACGGGAGATGGTGCTTGGAGCCAGGGGTTAGCAGACTCTACTCCAGCAGTTGGGGACTCTGGGGGTTAGATGGATTTGTCAGTGGTTTCTGTAGGCTTTTAGAATTTTGAGAGAAGCCAGGTGCCAGTGGCTCATGTCTGTAATCCTAGCTACTCAGGAGGCTGAGATCTGGGGATCGTGGTTCCCAGGAAGAAAGTCTGTGAGACTCTTCTTAATCTCTAATCATAGAAAGAGCTAGAAGTGAGACTGTGGCTCAAGTGGTAGAGTGCTAGCCTTGAGCAAAAGGAGCTCAGGGACAGCACCTAGGGCCAGAGTTAAAGCCCCAGGACAGGCAAAAAAAAAAATTTTTTTTTTGAGGGGCTTCCTTCGGTGTAACACTTTTCTCAGAGGCTTCTTGGACAGGTCTTAATGTATTTGAAGTTGTACTGGAAAATGGCAGGAAGCAGATGGACCCCTCTAAAATAAGCCTGGTTTTGTCTGATGATCCAGAACAGAGCTTGAAATTGAATTCTATAGATAGCCCTCTGAAATTGTATGTAAAATATTGCCTGAACAATTAGAGGTTCAGGGAAAGCATCCAGGCCCTGAGTTCAAGCCCCAAAACCAGCACAAAAAATATAAGAAAGGAGGCTGGAAGTTGGCTCAGTGGTAGAGTACTTGCCTTGCATGCATGAGGCCCTGGGTTTGATTCCTCAGCACCACATAAGCAAAAAGAAAAAAGCCGGAAGTGGCGCTGTGGCTCAAGTGGTAGAGCGCTAGCCTTGAGCTGAAGAGCTGAGGGACAGCGCCCAGGCCCAGAGCTCAGGCCCCTCGACTGACAAGTATGTGTGTGTGTATGTGTGAGAGAGAAAGAGAAGGGCTGGGAAGGTGGCTCAGTGGTAGAGCGCTTGCCTTGCATGCATGAGGCCCTGGGTTTGATTCCTCAGCACCACGTAAGCAGAAGTGGTGCTGTGGCTCCCAGGCCCAGAGTTCAGACCCCATGATGCACAAAAACACACACATACACATATAGTGAGTGGTCTTTTTTTAATGTGTATGTTTCTTGCATTTGCATTCAGGGCTGGGCGTTGTCCACTTCTTTCCCTCAAACCTAGCACTCTACCACTTTGAGCCACAGCTCTACTTCTGGCTTTTTTGTGGTTAATTGGAGAGAAGAGTCACAAGGACTTTAAAAACAGGCTAGTTTCAAACCTTGATCCTCAAATCTCAGCCTCCTCGGTAGCTAGGATTTTGGTTTGTTTGGATGTTTTTTGGTGGTGGAGTCTGAACTCTGGGCCTGGGTGCTGTCCCTCAGCTCTTCAACCACAGTGCCACTGCCGGTTTTTTCTGTCATGTAGTGCTGAGGAATCGAACCCAGGGCCTCATGCATGCAAGGTTCAGAGCCAAACTGTCACTAATCATTAACTAGGAAAAAAGCCAAATTGGAGGGCATGGCTCAAGTAGTAGAGTTCTAGTCATGAGCAAGCAAGCTACAAGAGTGTGAGGTCCTCAGAAACCCCAGTATCCACCAAAAAAAATTTAGGAATTTAACCAAGGAAGGGAAAGATTTCTATAATGAAAATTGTAAAACATTGATGAACGAAATTGAAGACAACACAAAAAGGAAAGATAGCTTCCCAGGTTCACAAATTTGCGCATTAATAGTTGAAATGTCCAAACTACCCAAAGCAATTGATCATTCAATGCATTTTAAGCCAAGCTCAGAGAGCAAAAACCGCATGTTTTCTCTCATGTAGAAGCTAGATGTAAAATATACTGGTACATAATAAATTATTCAGGTCTCTCAGCATTCACACACACTGAGACCAAAGGAGAATACTCAAGAGAGGCACAATGCCTATGTGCATCTGATCACACAAAATATCAAAATGAACTCCAAGAAATAGAAATAAGATTTTTTCTTTTTCCTTTTT